AAAAAAAAAAAAAAATAATAAAATAAAATAAAAAATAAAAAATAAAAATAAACCCATTTCTAGTAATGTTACTTCCTTGGGTACTGAATTCTTTTTTGCCTCAAGAAAGACAACTCCCTGACTTTCCTTAGAACACTTCTTTCACTTTTGTCTGCCTTACTGCAATTAACTTTTTTATTTTTATTTTATTTAATTTTGAGACGGAGTCTTTCTCTGTCGTCCAGGCTGGAGTGCAGTAGCTCAATCTCAGCTCACTGCAACCTCCACCTTCTCAGGCTCCTGAGTAGCTGGAATTCAGGCACGCACCACGATGCCCGGCTAATTTTTGTATTTTTAGTAGAGACGGTGTTTCACCATGTAGGCCAGCGTGGTCTCAATCTATTGACCTCGTGATCCGCCCAGCTCGGCCGCCCAAAGTGCTGCAATTACAGGCGTGAGCCTCCGCGCCCGGCCGGGATTTCTTGAACCCAGGAGTTCAAGACCAGCTTGGGTAATATAGTGAGATCCTGTCCCTATAAAAAATAAAATCAATTTTTTTTTTTTTTTTGAGTCGGAGTTTCGCTCTTGTTACCCAGGCTGGAGTGCAATGGCGCAATCTCGGCTCACGGCAACCTCCGCGTCCTGGGTTCAGGCAATTCTCCTGCCTCAGCCTCCTGAGTAGCTGGGACTACAGGTGCACGCCACCATGCCCAGCTAACTTTTGTATTCTTAGTAGAGACAGGGGTTTCACCATGTTGGCCAGGATGGTCTCGATCTCTTGACCTCATGATCCACCCGCTTCGGCCTCCCAAAGTACTGGGGTTACAGGCTTGAGCCACTGTGCCCGGCCAAAACCAATTTTTTAAAAAAGAGTTAAATGTAGGTTTACGTATTTGATCCAGCCATTCCACTCTTAGGTATTTACCGAAGAGGAAGGGAAAGAAACATATGTTTATGTAAGGTCTTTTAGGCTGACTGATAGCACCATGGACGCCATGTTAACCTCTGTGACCTGCAGGGACACTCCAGATGAGTTCCTGGAAAATCTAAAGTAACTGGAAGACCATGACAAGAGGAAGAAATGAGCAACCCCTGCAGCACCTACTTAACTTTGAGACATTCTCTACTGTTTCTTATTCCAGCCTCGACTGACAAGGCCATTGGACTTTGTAACCGACCTTGGCCAGCCTGTGACTGCACACCCGATGGTCCCCTTCCGGCTTACAAAAAACAGGCCTAAAGTTGCTTCTCTAATTTTTCACTGTTTACCCCAAACCTATAAAACCAACTCCTATCCCTCTGCCCTCCACTGACGCCCTTTTCGGCCTTAGCCCGCCTGCACCTGGGTGAATAAACACTCATGTTGCTCATGCAAAGCCTGTTGGGGGAGTCTCTTCATCCAGCACGTGCATTTTAACAGTTTACACAAATAATTGTACACAAACGTTCACAGCAGCTTTCTTCATAAAACCCCAAAAAAAGTACATCACATTGACAGAAGAATAAACAAATTGTAGCATACCTATGTAATGGAATAGTATTCAGCAATGAAAATTAGCCATCAATATACCTAATAATGTAGACCAATTTTATAGAAAAACTGAGCAACAGCCTGGCCAACAAGCTGAAACCCTGTCTCTACTAAAAATACAAAACATTAGCTGGGCATGGTGGCAGGTGCCTGTAATCCCAGCTACTGGGGAGACTGAGGCAGGAGACTCACTTGAACTTGGGAGGCGGAGGTTGCAGTAAGCCAGTAAGCCGAGATTGCTCCATGGCACTCCAGCCTGGGTGACATAGTGAGACCCTGTCTCAAAAAAACAAAAAAAAAAAACCAAAACCAAAACAAAACAAAACAAAACAAACAGAAAGAAAAGCTGAGCAGAACAACACACAAAAGTGTACATAATGCCTGATTTCATTTGTGTGAAGTTCTGTAACAGTCAAAACTAACCTATAGAGACAGAAAAAGCAGCATTTGCCTGGGACTAGGAGTAGGAGCACAGCGGCTAACACACAGAATTTTGAGGGGCTGGCCGGTCATGGTGGCTCGTGCCTGTAATCATAGCACTTTGGGATGCCAAGGTGGGCGGATCACTTGAGGCCAGGAGTCCGAGACCAGCCTGGCCAATAAGGTGAATCCTTGTCTCTACTAAAAATACAAAAATTATCCGGGTGTGGTGGCGCGTGTCTGTAATCCCACTACTTGAGAGGCTGAGACATGAGAATGGCTTGAACCTGGGGGGCTGAGGCTACAGTGAGCCAAGATTGAGCCACTGCACTCCAGCTTAGGTGACAGAGCAAGACCCTGTCTCAAAAAAAAAAAAAAAA